GGTGCACATGGAGATGCATCACTGAAAAGACAAAATAAAAAGGGAAAATTAATGAAAATATACTTGATTTGTCAGAATAGTTTAGCACACAGAAGCTGTGACTCCTCCTCCTCCTGTGATCTTATCCAACAAGAACAACAAGACGTGCTAAAATAAGAAATGACTCATATTTGTAAGGCGGAAATAATAATATAATGGTTAAAAAGTCAAATAAAGCCATTTAATAGTGTTAATTTTTGCCACTTCACATATTTAATCTCTATTTGACGTTTACTGTACATTCAAACCATTTGCAATCTTAATATTATTGCATTCATGAAGAAAATGAAAAGAAAACACGTTTAAAAAAATGGATATAAATACGTGTTAATATGAAGTAACGTTACATTAAAACAAATGGTAACCCGCACGTATTAGCCTAATGCCATTTTAAACGCTCCAACACGCAACAAATCGATAGATTTACTAAACATTAACGTATAAACCAACCAAGACGAGGTTTATGTTGTTTGATAGTGATATTCACACAGTTTTGATGCCTAAATCATATTTGACACGTTAAAATGTGTTGCAAACATCTCGAGCTAACAACGGCTAACTAACGTTAGTCATATGACGGGTCACCATCCGCTACGGAAGACGCATAAAATACAGATTTTTTTCCACATTCAGCGGCTTTAACGCTTACAATTCAACATTTAGAAATGAAATATAACACCTAAAGCTTACATATGTTCCACGTGAATGTTAAAAAAACAGTCGCGTGACCGCTGAATACGCCGCTAGCCTGATAATTAGCCCAAAACAGCCGCGTCTCCTTTTGTTAAATTTCGCTAAACGGTTACAAATTCGGCGATATTTGCGCGATTAACAACGTAATAGCTTACTTACACCATTATGCCCCACCGCTGTTATTATCTCTCGACGTTTGTCCTGAAACGTGAAGTGTCGCTCATTTGAGGATCTCAAAATGATGTCCTGTGAATGAAATACGACAGACAGGATCGAGTAAAGCGTTATATTCGGTCTTTAAACCCCTCCTATCATCTCTGCAGAGCTGCTTTCTATTCCTCCCCCATCTTTTTTCGCGTTTTCACTCAGCTGACCCAGTTTTTCCAGTAATTGGTTGTGAATTTGAGCTAACTTCGTCACCCAGTTTGGTTTATTTCCTCAGTTACCTGGTTTTGCATTTACAGTAAACGTGAAATCTGTTCCTTATTAAAGAAGGTACAGCAATGACAGTATAATACTACAGTATATGTGACCCTGCCCGGAGCACAAAACCAGTCATTAGGGTCAATTTTTCGAAATTGAGATTTATACATCACCTGAAAGCTGAATAAATAAGCTTTCCATTGATGTGTGGTTTGTTAGGATAGGACACTATTTGGCTGAGATACAACTATTAATAAATCTGGAATCTGAGGGTGCAAACAAATCTAAATATTGAGAAAATCATCTTTAAAGTTGTCCAAATTAAGTTTTTAGCAATGCATATTACTAATCAAAAATAAAGTTTTGATATGTTTACGGTAGGAAATTTACTAAATATCTTCATGGAACATGATCTTTACTTAATATCCTAATGATTTTTGGCATAAAAGAAACATCGATCATTTTGACCCATGTATTTTTGGCGATTGCTACAACTATACCCCAGCGACTTATGACTGGTTTTGTGTTCCATATATTATGTACCATACATACACTGTAAAAAAAATTCCGTAAAATTTACGGTAAAAAAACAGCAGCTGTGGTTGCCAGAATTTTACCGTAAAAAATACGGTAGCAACGTTTTAGGTTTTACGGTTTTAACTTAAATTTACAGTTTAATACCGTAATTTCATTAACTGATATAATGTTACTATACCAACCTATTGAAGTACTGAAATCTGTTTTGTACCTTTGTAATACACTGATAACCACCAAATGCAGGTGGTGATGAGAGTCACGTGATGAACCAAAGCCCATCACAAGCAGCTTTTAAATAATAACATGTATAGAAGGTGCACAGTGTCATTCACACAAACACCAAACACCATCATGGTAACACACATGAAACTAAAATAATGCAATAAACATTCATTTAACAACATTAGGTGTAACACACAACCCTAATATACAAAACTGATAAGAATAAACTAAGAAGAAACATAGTTATTTCAACAAAAAAACATCAAATTTGAAATGTAACGCAGGGAATTCTGGGAATGTCAATTTACGGTTATTCACTGTCAATTAAACGGTATTTTTCACTTCCAAAAACGGTATACTACCGTAAAATTA